CAGAGTATCCATGGAGGATCACAGAATTCCAGAACAATGTGGGTTGGAAAAGTGACCTTAAGGATCATCTCACCCCAGCCCTGCCATGGGCAGGGACACCTCCCACCATCCCAGGGACCCAGGGGCAGCCACGGCTGCTCTGGGAATTCCATCCCAGGGCCTCCCACCCTCCCAGGGAGGAATTTTATATTGGAACAGTCCCTGAGTACAAGCTCACCCTGAGGACAGCTCACGCACTTTCCTGACATTCAAACAATTCCTAGAAAACTCAAAGACTCTCCATGCAGAGAATTTCCCCCAGAAGGCAGCAATTTCCAACTGCACAGAATCTCTGGGCTTGAGCTGAGGGACCAAAGTAATCCCTGACTTAGGAGTGACTCTGGAGATGAAACCTCCCCATGGAATGCCAGGATCAGGGAAACAGCTCCGAGGTCCTGTCCAGCCTTTGTCAGGATGCTCCAAAACCTCAGAGCATAGGGCAAGACACCTCCCACAAAGTGGTTGAGGGCAGATAAACCCCTCAGGCTGGAGATTTGTAAAATATTCCCAGTTTTCCCTATCAAATGCCTCGGAAAGGTGCCATGTGAGGAGCAGGAAAGGCCCCTTTGCTTTTCTTGTGCAATATTTTGCCACGCAATTCCTGAAGCAAGACATGAAATTAGAGAAACCCTGTGTTAGTATCACTTAATGAGTCACAGCCCCTCCAACTCAGAGCACAAAAAGCACAATAACAGAACTAGCTGTGCTTTTTCCCTGGCCCCTGCATATGTTTTTGTTGTTAAAAAAATAGNGGATTTGGGCCAAACATTGAAGTAACTATTTCAACAGGTGTTGGTTTCCTTTCAAGAACCTCCAAAAGGCACCCAGGGAGGAGGGGGTGGCTTTGTGTTTCTTTTAGGATTTTGGGTTTTTCTCAGGATATTCCCACCTCAAAGCAGCACAGTCCAGGGAGGTCAGGAGCATTTATCTTTGTGCTGCACTTGCATGGAAATGAGGCGAGCCCAGAGCTGGGGAAGCGGGCTGCTCGGTGATTTGAGCAGGATGGAGGCTGCTGGAGCTGCGTGCCAGAAAGGAGAGCAGCGACTGCTGCAGCCCATCAACAACTGCCACTCCCAATCTGGGGGATCAAGTGGAAGCAGAGCAGGATTTGTGTCCTGAGCGCCTCCAGCTCCGCCTTTGGAGCTGGAAGAAAACGCTGGTTGAATGTGAGGAGCTGGAAGGAAACTTCGTTTGAATCTGAGGAGCTGGAAGAAAACTTTGGTTGAATGTTAGCAGCTCGAAGGAAACTTAGTTTGAATCTTAAGAGCTGGAAGAAAACTTAGTTCAAATCTTAGGAGCTGGAAGAAAACTTCGTTTGAATCTTAGCAGCTTGGAGTAAACTTTGTTTGAATCTTAGCAGCTTGGAGGAAATTTAGTTTGAATCTTAGGAGCTGGAAGAAAATTTTGTTTGAATCTTAGCAGCTTGAAGGAAACTTTGTTTGAATCTTACGAGCTGGAAGGAAACTTTGGTTGAATGTTAGCAGCTTGAAAGAAACTTTGGTTGAATCTTAGGAGCTTGGAGAAAACTTTGGTTGAATCTTAGGAGCTTGAAAGAAACTTAGTTTGAATCTTAGGAGCTTGAAAGAAACTTAGTTTGAATCTTAGGAGCTTGAAGGAAACTTTGGTTGAATCTTAGGAACTGGAAGGAAACTTTGGTTGAATGTTAGCAGCTTGAAAGAAACTTTGGTTGAATCTTAGGAGCTTGGAGAAAACTTAGTTTGAATCTTAGGAGCTTGGAGAAAACTGGTTGAATCTTAGGAGCTTGAAGAAAACTTTGTTTGAATCTTAGGAGCTGGAAGGAAATTTAGTTTGAATCTTAGCAGCTTGAAGGAAATTTAGTTTGAATCTTAGGAACTGGAAGGAAACTTTGGTTGAATCTTAGGAACTGGAAGGAAACTTTGGTTGAATGTTAGCAGCTTGAAAGAAACTTTGAATCTTAGGAGCTTGGAGAAAACTTTGTTTGAATCTTAGGAGCTTGGAGAAAACTTAGTTTGAATCTTAGGAGCTTGAGGAAAACTTTGTTTGAATCTTAGGAGCTTGCTGTCACTCCAGCAGAAATCAGGAGTGAAATCAGCTCCAGTTTTTCCCTTCTCTGCAAACAAAAAAAAAAGCTGCAAATTTCTCTCAGATACCTCAGTGGGAAGCAGCATCAAAATCCAGAATAAAGTTTAGGAAGGGACCTTAAATGTTATTTAATTCCACTATGCCAGGGTGCTCCAGCAGGCCTTGGACACTTGCAGGGATGGGAAATCCACAATTTCTCTGGGCACTCTGTGCCAGGGCCTCCCCACCCCTCAGGAAAACAGATGCTGGGACCAAAATGAAAATTCATTTTCCTCTCCATCCACCCTGCGAGGAGGAGCAGGTACATGGCACAACTGGGGATGAGGATTTGAGAGAGGGGTTTGAACTGAAAAGAAAATAACAAAAAGGAACAGCCTTTTCTTAACAGAAAAATTCCAATTACTCTGAAAACGTTAACAAGTCCCAGGGCAGCCCCAGGGTTATCTCCTGGGGCTGGATTCAATTAGTGCCATTTGCATTCTGGATGAATTAGACAGGGGAGGATGATAAGGAATTACTGAGTGCTCACCAGATTTATTAATTTCGTGAACACCAGAATTTCTGGTGGCTCTACACTGCAGCTTTTCCATTTCTCTGTGGTGTGGCCAAGAGCAGCTCCCTGACAGCTGAAAATATTGCAAAATATCCCAGCTCCTTCCCAAGGAAGCTTTTGGTAAGGAAGCAGCTTTTGCTCGTTAAACCACTTTATTTCTGCTTGGTTTTCTTGTTCTTTTCTTCTTGTGCGTTTTTTCTTATTCTGAAGAAATGCTCCCCAAACACCAGGTCCAGATGGAATCTGTAATTTTCCTTCCACCAGCCTTTCTCTTATTCTACTTAACTTTAAATCCTCTTTTTTTTTTTTCTTTAAAATCCAATTTAATCATGAAAAATCACATAATTGACGTGAACATTAATATAAAATACATCAATTTTTTCATTTGGGTTACCATTTGCTGGACACACAGCTGTGTTTGTACGGAGAGATTAAAGTTCTACAATTAAAAAAATAATAAATAAAGACAGAAACAAAACCCTAAATACAAATCCAGTTTTTTCTACGGATTTTCTAATATGCTGATAGGAATTAAATGAAGCATTTATTAAGAATGCAATACTTCAAGTTGCTGAAATTCTTCCCTGAAAAATTCGGAGTAAATTACAAATTTGTGCGCAGAACCCACTGGGAAGTTTGGCAGTTTTGGCTTTGTCAATCAACCCAAATCCACAGTAAAGGTTTTTCTAAAAATGCCTTTTTTAACAGA